GAGAGTGCTGTTATTGCCTGTTCTTTTTTGGGAAATCTGGATGAAAATGCTATACAAAAAGGAGGGTTATGACATATAATAAGGATGAATGTTTCATGAGTCTATAAGATAAGCTGCAAAGGCAGTGATGTTTCTAAGCCAGAAACCTCTGTTATATTTTATTTCACTTCTTATTATGAACAGCCACATGACGCAAAAAAGTAGCATAAATCTACCCCGATAAATATCCTTGTTGTGTACATAGCTGAAAGGATACCATCAAAGGAAGACTTCTGGACTTGCCTGGAGAAGGAAAAACACAAAATTTATCTCAGTAGCAGAAGCGCACAAGTTTTTCAGAATCTTTTTCAAATGGCAAGAACCAGCACTTCGTAGCAGTAACAAATGGATATAAAACATTTTCCGGAAGCCTTCTACGCGGCTGCATTCTGGCTCCACCACAACCAACCCAAGACGCTATTATGCAACGTCACCTCCTTTGCCGGCCATGCCATTTTGCTGTTTGAAAGCCTTGGAAGAAGGTTTTTCCCGCTAGAATCGGATCAATCAGAAGAATGGGAACGACTTAGGAAGGAATTTTTTGACACACTAAGGGCTAAGTGGGCTGTAGCCCAGTGTGGTTTTTTAAGAAAAAAAAATATAAAACTTATATATTTAATTTATTTTCAATATTAGGTCAGTCAGTGCAGCTGTACAGATTACATTATTTCCATTTTCAATATTTAAGTAAATAGTTAAGTTTACAATGTAAATGAGAAAGTACCCCCCATTTGGATTCAAATAAAAATACTAGAAAATCAAATTCCCACCAAATCAAAATATGAAAAATCGGTTTTAGTGCAAAAGACGATTTAGGCTAAAAATGATGGCTCATTAAGTCAATATATACTTCATACTAAAATCCCATAAAATCAAGTTTTTTTATTTGATGTGTGAGGAATAAAAGACGCCAAAAATTATCTTGAGAAAATGATTATTTCGAAAACCCATTTTACATAATTAGTCAATATTTTTACATAAAATAACTTTTCATGTATGATATGAATGTATGAAGAAACCCAAGGTCAATCTAGGTAAAAAGTCTTAGATGTTCAATCCACTATATATAGTGTTAAACCATATTTGGTTTATGTTAAAACTTATTGAAAATTAGTCTATGGAGCTATGAACTAGCTTGGTTTATATGATTTAATTTTTATTTTTATTTCTAGAAAGACTATAGAAATTGTAAGTACCAAAAAAAATAATCATTAAATTTTAAGCTAATAACTTTAGCTAGCCCACCCGTTGAAAAATTCCTGGTTCTGCCCTTGTTTTTGGAGCCCTTGACTGAGTATAGTCGACGCATGGATTCCATTCAAGAGCCCTATGTGGTCAAGAAGTATTTGGAGGAGGTGAAAGCAAGGCGGCAGCATCATAAAGCCGGATGCATTGCTTCCAAATCATATCATAAGATATGTAAAAGATGAGGATGTTGGGGAAGCAGCTGAGATTCAGTGGAAGGCAATGATGGAGAACATGTACCTAAAGCAAAAACAGGGGGAGGAGAACAAATTTAAAAACTGCTTAGTGTGTAACATCAATTACATGGGCGAACCAAGAACAGAATTGGCGGCAAGTTTGGGAATTTTGGTGTCTGAATTGAGTGAAGAGCCAGCAAAAGAACTCCAACTTCGCTTGCGTGGTTGTAAAGCAAACTGAAGCACACAACACAAACACACGAGTGGGCGGTTTGCGTTGGTTTAATTTATTATGTCTAATAAAAATTTAAAAGTACATTATAATTAATTATAATAAAATATTCGTTCTCCCAGTGAGATTAGGAAACAGGAAACTATAAATACATATGTAGCGTGCGGCTTTTGTAAACACTAGCTACTGTGATTTAGGGTTTCCAAATTTTGCTATAATCTTTTCTCTTTCAGACAAGATGAAGTGCGTTTGCGATCAGGCTTTGAAGGAACAGCGATGCGAGCAAGAGCCTCCTGTTGACGACTTTGGTGGCCTCGCTTGCCCTCCGCTGGACGACCTTGAAGCTGTCTTCATCCTTGAAACCGTGACTTTCGATCCTTCCAAGTTGTTCGACGACGTCAAACTTGATGACCACGACATGGCAATTCAAGGGAAGCCGAAGAAACCACCATCCCACGGCAAAGGGGAGAATTTGGAGACCGTCCGCTTGATGCTAAGTGCACCACCTTATTCTTCTTTTCTACAAAACCCTAAGGAGACCACAAAATCTGATCCTCATCATCAACGGCAAGACTAGGATGATGAAGAGAAGTTGAAGAACAGTAAGCGAAGCTTCACCAAAGCTATCAAGAGTTCTAAAACAAGAGAAAGAAAATTCAAATTCTGGACATCAAGAATTTGCCTATGCCGCTAAAGCCGCAACGAGGTCGGGTTTTGAACAAGAACAAGTTTTTGAGTTCGAGAAAATGCCGGGCCTTGTGATTTTTTGGAGAGCGCGTGATCTTATTGTTTAGTTTATTCAATTCATTCATTCATTGTTTGTGATGAGTTTATGTAACACGAGTATTCATCAAAATTGTGATCAGATTTCTTTGTGATTATGCAATCTAAGTTGTTTTGATGCCCAAATGCATACACGACTAATCACCAAGCCTCAGTGAGCTTTGACATCTTGGTGTGGAGTGTCGCTTCAGCCTCCGTGCAGTCCATTTGGTTCTCTTACAATTCCCTTTCCCATTATGCTACCTGGCTTGGCTACTATCATCTTTTTGGCAAATTCTAGATGATGACCAATTAATGTGTGTATGATAGGGGTGGAACCCACACTTATACTATGTGGTCAATTGAGCCAAAACACATGACATAACTAATGAATGCATCTGAATTTATTTAAAATATTAGTATAAACGACACTTGTATGTCAATAATAAGTTATCAATGTCATCCTCTCATTGATTTTTAAAAGATACAAATATAATCCAACCTAAGTAATTATATTTTTAATCTTAACCATCGTTATAGTATAGTTGTTTAAAAGTTGTTTGAATGACACTTACATATTTCAATAAAACGACATGTTGTTCACTTTAGATTAATAAAACTCTAACCAAACACACATCTCTCTTAAATTTAAGTTAACATATTAGAACTAGAATAGAAATACACATCCAGAGTACATTAAAATTAAAGGATAGACGTATTTTTTATGTCACGTCCACCTTAATTTATAATAAACTTATAAAAATAAAACATAAAACATAAAAACATATAACTGCTGCTACTGCCATGGGCTCTTCCCTGTCAGTGGTGGTGTTGCTGCTGCGATGGCCTCTTCACTTGGGCTATATCACATGTCCATACCCTTCCATTTTAGCATCCCTGTTAACAAAAAATATATTTTTTATTTTTATTTTTATTTCTATTAACACAATTAAAATACATATATATATATATATATATAAATCACTCACTCTTTTAACTTGATTTCTTCCTCCAATGAGAATAAATTGTTACTGACAAATGTGGTAGCTTGTTCAAGCTTTCAATGACCCTGATTTTTTGGGTGAGTACATGGGTAGTGGCATTTTGTGTTGCAGAGATTACAATCTTATACATGGCATATTGGTGATAAAAGACATGTTTGAAGACAGAAGAAACTACCCAATACAAATCAAATAAGAAGATTTTTGTTGTTTCTTAATCATAGCATAAATTGATTTTTATAGATGTAGATCATTTAAATGCAATGATGAAGGTGTATCATTGAGTTTTACCCTTTCAAAGTTACTTAACATGCACAACTTATGTTTGACCCAAAAAATCAAAAAGAAAGAAAAAAAACATGCACCCTATATGAATATGAGATAAATACACGCATCTCTCTCAATGGAAGCTATTGTTGTAGAGGATTACATAACATTTTACCTCCAACAAAATTAAAGAACGCAAAAAGCCTCAAACTATCATGTCTCACACATTTTGGATTGAATTGGATTGGTATTAATAATTAGTTATTATGAGTCAGCATAAGACGCAATATGTTGGACTCTTGTCTAATTTAATAAGTCAAGTAGCCAACACATTAGTCCAAATTCAAATTAAAAACAGAGCACCTGATGTGATCATAAATTTTTTTTTTTTAGTTGATCCCATCACTAATCACCATTAGTGCCTCTGGATATTAAGCTTCAAGTGGCAATTATTAGTTGCAGAAAATAATAATGCCCCATTTGGTTAATGGGAAAGGAGGGTTGGTAATGGGAATTCAATTGTTTTCCCATGTTTGGAAAGTCCAGGCATGAAAAATGGTTGCTTGACATATGGGAAAGTAGGGGGGAAAGTGAAACCCTCCTCTCAACTTGGGTTTTGTTTTCCCTCCTCATGAGAAAGTTTGGGAAAATGAGCCAACATTCAATGCACAATTTTCATGACTATTTTGTCCCCATGAACAATTTAGAATTACAATGTATCATTAAATGCATTCTTTTTTTATTTGATTTAATATGGGTATAATTGAAAAATAATACAAAATTTGTTTAAATTTGTTTTCTATTCCTACTCAAAACAAACATGGGAAAGGAAACAAAGTGAAATCTTCCAATTACTTTCCCGACATTACCAAACGTAGGAAAGGAATCTTTCATTCCCATTCCTTAGGAAATGACATGGAAATTAATTTCCCCTCAAATCCATTCCGTAAACCAAATGGGACCTTAAAGTGACAAGAGAGATGCTCTGAGTGTTTTGGATTTGTCTGAATTCTAAATGAAACTGTATTTAAATGCGTATAGAAGAAAGAGATTTCAGTCCAGACCACCTTATTATTCTGAATTTTAGAAGTTAAATTGTAGAAAAATAATAATAAATTGAAGAAAATGAAATGTGACAGCAGATGAAAGGCATGCCGTCAGGGTTTATGACGTGTGGTCTTATAAGATACGGACATGTGTTATTTATGTTTTTTAATTGTTTTTTTATCTTACAAAATTTACAAAAATCAGAAAAATATTGAGGATTTTCTTTCGTACATGTCACTCCGACTGCATGGCAGGAGAAATTCAGATGTGCAAGTATGTCTCACTTTCATCAGGGTTCTGAAAGTCTTTTCTCCTCTTACTCCTCCTCCGCTTCCACTGCTCGCAAGAAGATTCATGGCTTCCAACTCCAAGGGTGACAGTGACATGGCCAAGAACATCTCTTCCATCTCCCCTAATTCCTACGGTGATCCCTGCCATGATCTGTGTTTCCACGTGAAATCACCAGACAACGTCGTAGGACTGTGTCTCCCACCACCAGAGCCCAGTGATGAAGAGCGGGAGCAGCAGAACAAGGCCACCCTAAACTATCTGAAGCAACTGCTGCCGGTGGCCTGTTCCCACAATTCCCTAACCACCCTCAAGCTCATCTTCAATCTCAACTCTCTCGATAGTCCTGGCGAAAAATATTTTCCGGCAGCCTTCTACGCGGCCGCAATCTGGCTCCACCACAACCACCCCAAGACGCTATTATGCAACATCCCCTCTTTTGCTGGCTCCGGCTCCTTCTACCTCTTGATAGCTCGTTTGTGGGACCTTGTCGAGATTCTCTACGGCCTTCTTCTAGAACAAGGCCAAGACTCTGCGGCGCAGAGGCTCCACCGTGACGCGCACTACAAGTTGTTGCATGACCGGGTTATGGAGGTCTTGGCGGAGCAGTTGAAGTCTGATATTGAAAAATTGAAGCAGCACAGGCTGGGGATGGAAATGGAATATGAAGATAATGATAAAGAAGATGGTACTACTCTGCTTCTCGTTAGCCAGGCTGCTGCATGTTGTACTCCCAGCAGCCCTGAACAAGTCCAGGCTACCCGCGCCGTTTTGTTGTTTGAAAGCCTTGAGAGGAAGCTTTTCCCGCCAGAATCAGATCAATCAGAAGAATGGGAACGGCTTAGGAAGGAGTTTTTGGAGCCCTTGACGGAGTATAGTCGTCAACGCATGCGTCTTTATCTCAATCAAATGCCCTGTGTGATCACGAAGTATTTGGAGGAGGTGAAAGCAGGCGGCAGCATCATAAAGTCGGATGCATTGCTTCCAAATTATATCATAAGATATGTAAAAGATAAGGATGTTGGGGAAGCAGCTGAGATTCAGTGGAAGGCAATGATGGAGAACATATACCAGGGGGAGGAGAACAAATTTAAGAACTGCTTGGCAGTGTGTAACATCACCTACACCATGAGCGCAACATCAATCACGGAATTGGCCGCAAGTTTGGGAATTTTGGTGTCTGAATTGAGTGAAGAGCCTGCATGGAAAGGAAAGGTGATCACTCTGGGTCCATTGCCTGATCAGCTGCCGCTGCTGCATTCGACATACAAGGCAGTGATCTCATGTCCAGGTACGACTTTGTCATTAGGACATGCAGCAACAGCTACAGCCAGGGTGTTGATTTTGATCAGGTGTGTGATTTGATTCTGGAAGTGGCTGTGAATAATAACTTCAAGGTGGAGCAGATGATCAAGAAGGTGTTTGTGTTCACCAACTCCGTAAGATTTGGTGGCTGCAGCACATCCTGGAAGACTCTGTATGAGGCAAAACGCAGCAAGTTTAAGGAGCAAGGTTACGGGGATGATACGATGCCACACATTTTTTTTTGGAATATTTGGGACATAGCGGGGTTTATGCATCGTGTAGAAGAACCTCATCCAGGAGTGACCCTCTTGAGGGGAAACTCGAACACATTGATCAAGTCGTTCTTGGATAATGGTGGGGAAATTAGCCGGCATCAGATCATGGAAGCAGTCATTGCCAACAAAGAGTATCAAACTCTCTCTGTGGTCGACTGAACGTAAACTGAGATTGATTGAGATCAAGATCAAGATCATCCATTTTGGAGGAATAGGGCTTGATGATGTGATAGTTAGTTTTAGTAATCCTTCGATGTTATTTGCTTTATATTTTTGTCTGCCTGTCTTAGCCTAGCCTATGCTTAGCTACTAGAATTTGGATTCTGTTCAACAAAATGGTTATCTGGCAAGAGAGGCACTGTTTTTTTCAATAAAAAATAAAATTAGACCAACTGTAATTTGTACCCGTTTTGTGTCGGCTCATATTTTCACTCTTTGGAGGCTGATGCTGTGAACGATCTGAGAGCAATCACTCCAACCCTTGATTTGATCCCAATCGACGCAAGGTTCAGGCTGGAAAGCGCACACTATATGCTACCAATGTCATTTCTTTGTGTACTTATTTGTCAATGATGATTGTTGTGCTTCATACTGTGTAATATAGACAATGACCGAAAACTAAGGAATACTGCAGCATTTTGATGTTGATTCTAGGGAACTGACTTGCTTGCTTTCTGGTTTCAACTTGAATTTGCTGTCTTGTTTTACCAATCTTGTAGAAAAATCTAGAGCTTATATTTACCTCTCCATGCTTCTCAGGAAAGATAGCTGTTATCGGCAGGTGTCGTGAGTACACTGATGCTCCATAGATGGGGTATGCAATCACAACGGTCTCCATCATCCTTATGAGTGTATTTAATCGTTCTTTTTTCTCTTATGTGTAGTTTTCAGTACAAATTGTAGATATAAATTTGTCAGCTGATGGCATAATCATTTCGAGGATGGACACCCCAAATGTAAATGAATACAAGCGCCTTGTACAGAAAGTTTCGAGTTGTGAAGTAAATATCAAAATCATGTTGGGCTGCTCAGAAGCATGCAAAACATGATTGATTTGCTTTGTTTGAAATATTGCCAACCACATTAGATTTTTCTTGCAGTAAAAATAGTGAGTATCTATAGTTCTCGAAGATGTGATGGGCAGGGTGATATACTTTCCGGAAGGCAAGTATTTTTTTCTCTTTCGAGTTTTTGTTTTTACATTATGGCAAACGTTGTGCTGAATTTGCTATCTTCTCCTTACTTTTCCAGTTTATTTTTCTCGAAGAATGCATAACCCCAAGACCATAATATGCATATAATAAGAATGAGAGAGAGAGAGAGAGATCCATTAAAGTATTACAAATTTCAGTACTACTCCTGGTGACCTTGTTGTGAATGCCATAGTCATGAGGTGATGCTTCTACCTCCAAAACTCAGATTTTGAGAGCTTACCTGATGTTATGTTCTCTTGTACTGATGACTTTAAAATAAAAATCTCATGTCTTTGGTTACTCCAGCGTTGCTGTATTTCTATCGTGGGCCCGTCAAGCTATCAGAAATGCCGACTCGAGAGTATCTGGTTTTACAGTCTTAGTATCTGTTCATATCTTTGAATCCTTACAGCCCCATGTTTGACAATTGATTTTACCCAATTTGTATTGTTACAGTTCCCAAAACCCCGCAACGTTGGGGTGCATAGCTTGCTTTTGAGGATAAGAAAAGGTCAACCCTCACTACTGATATCATTGAGCGCATGGGAAGAAGGTAGTTACCCCTAAAATAGAACAATCTCTCGTGTGAATTTAGAGTTAAGTATAATATTTTACTTTCTCTATTACAGTCTAGAGGATTTTTGTCCGGTTAGTTGATGCCGTTGAATTTCAGATGATAGACTTGGATCTACTTACATCCGGAGAGACGTTAGTTCCACTCATGTTCGATCGTTCTGTTTATTTTGAAGATCGGGATGAAAATTTTATACAAAAAGGAGGGTGAATCCATATGCTGCAAAAGCAGTGATGTTACAAAACAAATTTCTACAGTAGCAGAAGCCCACAAGTTTTCAGAATCCTTTCAAATAGCAAGAACAAGCACTTGGTAATTGTGACAAATGGATATAAAGCAGAGTGTTTAACTTGTATTGTATCCAAGACAAGCACTTCTAATTGCAAGCCTTCAATTACAATCACAAATTTAAATTTTCTACAGTACAATAAGCCATACGTTTCACAGAATCTTTTCATGTAGTAATAACAAGTACTTTGTAACTGTAATGACAAGCAAAGTGTAACAACCGTATCCAAGATAAACACTTCAAATTGTAAGCCTTCAATTACAAACAATGATTTTTTACTCCATCAACACTTTCACTCAAGAATCTTTGTGCGGCTGCTGTTGCTGTGGCCATGTTGGCTGAGCAATGTAGGGATGTGTCTGTTGGCCATAAAGAGCTTGATCCATAACAGGCTTTCCCACTATCATCCCCGGAGCACCAACCTGTGGAGCATGCTGAGCAGGCATGTAATAGTAAGGCACACCATCAGTTGAACTTCCAACTGGAAGATTCCCACCTCTTGGGATTGACGCAAGTACCTCATCTTTCAAATCCTCTCTTGGGACGATATCAACCAGAAAATCAAATATATCAGTCCGCGTAATTGCTGCAGCAATGTCATTCTTTTGCAGTGTTCTTCTTTTGTTCTCCTCTGTGTGATTCCATGACCGCAGTGTCAACTCTAGAATGAACATCTCACAGGCCCTGGCAAATATGACTGGAGCTTCAGCTGAGATCATCCTCACATCCTCATCAGCCTTCATAATCTTTTTAATCCTGGCCAATGGCAAACTATGGTTCTTGAAATCCATAACCGCCTCAATTTCTTGATACTGTTCTGCCCAAAAACTTTGGAGTTGTTGCTGTAGTTGCTGCTGTTGTTGCTGGTGGATGTGCTGATAAGCTAGTTGGTGTTGTGCAAGCTGAGAAGAGGCTGGAGGACCTGCCGGCTGAGTAGGAGATTGCATCAATCCAACTGATCCAGTGGGAGAGAGCCCCATCATTTGGCCAGACTGATATGGGTTCACACCATATGATGCTTGGGCCGCACTAGCAGCCACTCCTATTGTTGTGGGATGCCCATGCCCTTGCTGATCCATACTGGTGTAGGTTGACAAGTAAGAAGTTCTCTACGCAGCTACACGCCCTTTCGGTGCAGAGGACAAAATAAACAATCAATATGAACACTACTGCTAAGAAATTGTAGAAAGTTTAAAATTCGAACAAATTTCTGAAACCCCAATAAAAAGTAGACTGCTCTGCTGAATTGACTCTAGGATTTGGGGTTCCATATTCAAGCTTGTGAGCTGACAAAATGGAAGTGCTGGATGTCAAACTATTAATACAACCCTCCTCCTTTCAAAGGGTTTAGGACCAGCTGTGTCACTAAAAATAAGACTAGAAATGCTGAATATCTAATACGTAAAACCCATAAAACTTAAGCCCCATCAATTAATACTATACGGTCAAACTAAAGCTTCAAAAACAATCAATACATATAATCTCTTCCACCTGAAATCAAACATTAGAGACCCTTAACAAAATTTCCCCCACAAGGAGGTCTAGCATAATCATATTCCAGTACTCTTATATCTTATACCAGTCAATTTTGTTACAATTAGCAATCAATCTTATCGTAATTACCGATTTCCATAGGAAAATCCCATTATTCTAAACATTGCACAACCAAGACAAAGTGTTTCAAATTCAGTATTCTATCTTGAAAAGAAAATGCAGAAACTGTTATTTGGAAACAGATACATACACAACTCACCAATTAGACCAGTGCACTGCTCAACAACTTACCTCTATAAATTGGACAAGCATGAATTGCACTTGGCATGGACTATTAGCCTTTCACTGAAAAGGCCAGAGTCTGAAAACCGCATGCTACTGTTCATACCCAAAAGACTACGCAATACACCGACACCCCCAAAGAAAAAACAAACAAAACCAAACAAAACGTTAGACCTTTATGATAACCTTGCATAATTTCCCTCCAGTAAAAAGACAAGAGTCAACTCAAAAGTCTCACACGGTCACACCTCTGCTCATCAACTCACCGAGTCAAATTGCATAGCAACACAAACCCCAGAAACCAATTGATTCCGATTTACTTCACACAAAAACACACGACTTGTGTACTATACGTACATATACCGTACCTACCGACGTATAAACAGAGTTAATTCACCATCTATACTTAAAATCAAATCCTAGGGTTCCTGAAACCCTAAAAAAAGAATTCAAGAACAGCTTTCTAAGGCTAACTTTCACTACTTACAAAGAAAATTCCCAACAACACAGTACACATAAAAATAAAAAATAAAAATCCTAAAGAAAATATAAAACCCATAAAAAAAGCTGGTACCTTTGACTCACTGCTTTCTTCCCAATTCTGGGTTTTATCCAACCAGCAAAACCCTAAAAGAAAACAAAATAGTTTAATGAAAATCATATACAATTTGAAACTGAAGCTTAAGGGGAAAAAGAGAGAGAAAATCATACTAGAAGAAGAATTATTTCACAGAATATTTGGAAAATTGAATATAAGAACCCGAACCTTAAGAATGCTTTTAGGGTTCTTCTGGAAATCAATCAAATATAACAGTAAAGGAGATTGAAGTGGGGGATCGAAGTGGAGAGAGTGGGAAGATTTTATGTGTGCATTCCACTATAAAAAAGCGCCAGTTTTGGTTCGTCGTCCCAACTATAACTTTCCGTTTGACTTTTTCCCTTGTGACGATTTTACCCTCCGAATTAATTCATTATTTAAATAAAAATAAAAATAAAATATCTTCTTCCACCAATCAACTTCAACTGCCTAATTTATTTATCCAATCCAATGTCTTAAATTCAAGATATTTTTGTTCAAGAGAGAATTTAAATAATGAAAAAAACAAAGGGCATTTAAGTACCAAGGGTGAATCTTGAGTCAGTCCTTTGGGTGGGCTGGAGTGCCCTGACCCATACAATTGAAATATCTAGCTTTTTATACCTACTTACAAATTATGGGCTATGGGCTGTGGGCCATGGACAGGGGTCAATCGGTTGACCTATCATTTTCTAATGATGTGCATAAATGCTTGAACTAAATACAAAGACATCCATACAAAGTGAATATTAAACTTAGGTTAAGTATATCATAATGAAGTTTATTTTATTTTCATAGTTGGGATTGAGGAGATTTAGATTCCTGAAGTTAGTATGACGTATCTAATGAAACATCATGACAAAGCTAAATACAAAGGAAAAACATCTATACAAATTGAATATTAAACTTCATTATCGACTCAAAGCATCTTCAATGGAGATGTTAAATCCAATGTTACATTTTTAGCATGTAGAAAAATAGCTGAAATTAACTCCAACTGAGATGTTAAATTGTCATATAAGTTATCAAATTCAAATTTAATTTTTGATATTTGACATCTCCCTTGGAAATGCTATTACAATATTAAAATGAGAAGTGTTTTTTAGTGTTAATATGAATACATCTAATGGAAAATCAAGATAAGATTAGTCTAAATAAGAATATTAGGGGCAGTCCAACAATAATTTTAGAGGCATATGCTAGGGATGGCAATTTTTCCCAGGAGTAAGGTTCTTCGGGGATTTCAACATTAATGGGTCGGGTATGAATGATAAAAAAATGACTATGGAAATGGGTTTGGGGAATTTTTTGGGTATGGTGTTCGGGTAGGGACAGAGATGATATTCTAACTGTTGAGGCCCAAAAAGTCACAAGAAGCCCAAAAACATTTAAAGCCTAATATAACATATAATGTTGGTCATGTGTTAATCCAAGTTGTATTTTGGGAATAAATTTATTAAATAAATATAGAAATAGTATACATGGCATGTCAAGCCAATAAAACATTTTTCATATGTTAATCACCTACCAAGCTCACATGAACTCAAGTCATGTGGTTTACGGGGCTTGCACAAGGGATTGTGGTGTGGAAGGTTATGGAGGTCCACAAGGCCCACGGAAGCTCTTGGATAATAGAGACTTTTGGCTAGCTACTTGAGAGCACCAAAGTCCAAGCCCATTACTTGGAGTTCTCCAATGTGAGTGAGCAAATGAGATATTCTTCAAGCACTCCCTATTATCCACTGGAAACAAGCCAATTCTGACACTTTCTTTTACCTATAGGAAATAATCATTTTCCAATGTCTAGCTTTACCTGTTGGAAATTAGAATGTCTCAATGCTCCTTTTTACCCGTTGGAAATAAACTAGCTTCAACACTTTCTTTTACCTATTGGAAACCAAAAAGAGCCTTCACCTTCTATAAATTGGGAGGCATTGCCCAGGCAAAACCAACCCCCTTGGTTGCTACAAGCCTCTCAACAACCATGAGAACTCACATTTTCTTCAGCTACTGCAAGCATTCCAGCAACCATCACAGTAATTCTTGAGCCATCAACCTCCATCTTTTGGTTGCTCAAGCACCCCAGCAACCATCAGACCACCTTCTTTCCTCTCTTCTGTGCTGCAAGCATTTAGCAGCCATCCCAGCCATTCCTAAGCAATCACAACTATTTCTTCTACTTTCTCATCCTTGAAATCCTCCATCTTCCCAATAAAGCCTCACCAAGCATAACTCCAAGATTTTCTTTCCTCCTCATACCCTTCCAAGCTATAAACATCATATCTTTCAAGCCTCAAGCTTTTCCTTCCATCATCCTTCTCTTGAAACTCTTAAATCACCATAGCCATAGCCAGAAATAACAAGTTCTCAACACCTAAACTCAAGCCTATCCATACCAAGCCAAGTACATGCATTTTAGCTCCCACACTCCAAGCTCTTATGCCAAATTCGGGCAATCTCGATTCCACATCATTAAGTCACCTTCAACTGTGCAAAAGCATGACCAAACATTCATCAACCTGTTGAAAATCTACTCAAGTCACCCATCCTTTATATATATATATATATATATATATATATCTCACACACATCAGGCTCCATCCAAAATCTGAAACACCCATCCTCTCAAGCTAAGTTGAAACCATAGTCATTATCTTTTTAGTAAGAAAACGCTGATATCGCAAGCTCTTCGTCTAGCTGCCGAAAACACCCAAAATATCAATCCTTAATCCTTTCTTTATGCTCATTTTCTCTTAACTCCCACGCCACAAGCCTCTCATACCAAGCCTAATAGCATCTTGATTCACCAAAGCAAACTCTCATGCCAAGCATGTGCAACATCAATGCACCATCTCCAACTCTTCGTCTAGCTGCCGGAAACATTAGCACAAAACACGTAGCCCCTGGAAAAAGAACAAAGTACTCCATTGGGACTTGCTTCTCCCTCGGGATGCTTTGGGCATAGTTCTCCCTAACTCATAAAAAGGAGCAACAAATGCTTGATTCACTACTCTATGGCAGTCCAAGAATCAACAAGCCCGGACAAGCCTTCCGACAGAAAAAGACCCCAACACTAATCTTTGACCTGAACTCTCCTCGTTTACAATATATATAATTTATTTTTCATATAAATATATTATTAAAATGTGTGATGATGATGCTTGCTTCCTCTATAATGATAATCATGTCTTTGACATGTTATGTTGTTTAATAGTCTGGATTTTTAGTTAATAAAATTGAGTTGGTACATATGTTGTGCTCATAGTGCTTTTTCCTCGTTCAACAAAGTAATTTTTTATTCTTAAGGGTGCGGGTCGGGGAATCCGTTCCCAACGAATGTGAGGATGGGGAATCCCCAAATTGAATATTGTGGGTATGAAGGCAGGAGTGGGGGAAAAATGCTTAATATATATGGGAATGACATATACACCCCTGATTCGACCAATTGTCATCCTTAGCATATGCACCAACACATATATCAAGTTTTTAAAACCCAGTTGATGTGGTAGAATTATATTTATGTATGTTTGAGTCAAGTGTGAACTTATTTTATTTATAACCAATATGCAATTGCAATGTTATGCATCACATTAGTTTATGTTAAATATTTTATATATATATATATATAAGTGATAGTCTAAACTATAAGAGAGAGAAGATTTCTCACACACACACACATCACTAAGGTGCCACAGATGTTCAAGTTTGAGACAACTGATCTACAAATCAAGACCATTTCTTACTGGACTAGACCTTGCAATTGATATTAAACAGCTGAGACAATAGTGGGTGTCAACTATATTACTCAAAAGGAAGATAGAATGATAAATAGTAGAAGGGTTAGATAGGTATGGGTGCCAGCCTTCATAGCCTATGAGACGGGCCAAAACTAGGCCCGAGCCCAGTTCCATTTGGAAATCTGGCCCGATCCAGCCTACTAGCCGGTCTGCATCAGATTATGGACCACTGTGGCTGTCCCAACCTAGGTAATAATACATGTTATGTTGCTTTCTGATGGTGTTTGTTGACCACTTTTTTATTTTCCCCGTCATTTCCATAACTACCATTACAAATGTAACTATCCAATTCACTCAAACTTAAGGGTGTTTCCAGCCAAGCCAGTACCACAAAATGCGAATTTTCTTTGAGTGAGTTACAAGATGAAGTTACCAAAAACCCTAAACCCAATGCCATTCAGTTTATAGCAAATTTAGTAACTGATTGTCAGCAATTGGTCCAGTAGTATTGGGTACTGAAAATGTGGAGCTGGTATTTGTGAGGAATTTTTTAGTGTTGCGATCATCCTGTTAACTAATCTACATGTTAAAACATGAGTAGATGGCAATATGTCATGAACCTAGATATAGGTATAGTATTGATAAATAAAACCTTGAATGGATTAATGCACCACATAACCTTTCGAGTGTCACGCCGAAAAATTACTCGTACGTTACATAATTGCATTATGAGTCAACGAAAAAGCATTGAAACCTTAATTAATACAACTTCATTAAAAGATAAAAAGCATAGCTGTACAACAGTAGAAGCTAGAATACAGCGAGCAACTACAACATGAAGAGAAAACAAAGCCCTCATACAAAACATCAAACACTTATCAACAACAGTCAACATTTCCAGGTATTTACATGGCCCCTCCCTCCCGGATGCATGCCTTACATTCAACACCATATAAAAGCCTCTCCCCCAACCGCCCTCCCTGAAATGGATATAGATTTTGAAGACTGCACTCTATCAGGAAAATCTCTACTTTGTGGCTGCAAATACTGCTGGCCCTTCCACCTGAAATTTCAACCCATCAAGTTGACAAAAATAACAAATTTGCGGTTGATATGAACGTCACTAGAAGTTGGTGTAATTTGTCACCATCTGATGATATGCTGTTATTGGTTCCTTGACAACTATTTTTGTTGCCATATAGGATATAGCACCTCTAGTTCTTTGAGATCTTGTAAATGATTCCCACAAAAAAAATAGTGACTTCATATTACCTTAAATGTTGCACCCCAGAACTCTTCTTCAGTAGCAGGTATAGCAGTGATCTTGTTTTTAGGATTCTCATAGCTTCTCAGGCCTCCAACCGCTGTGGAGTAGAAGCATCCTGCACAAATCAATAGCACCATTGTTAACAAAGAACAGAGATTTTAATTTTAATTTTTTCTTATTATTTGGTGGATCCAAAAGTCAAAGAATTTAGGTGTGCCAATTGGGTTCCTGAAAATTCTATCAATGAATCCATCGGCTGGGATTTCTCACCTTGAGGGCCACATAGCCATCAGCAGTGATTCCCCAAGACAGAGGCACCTTGCCGTATTGGTCCTGTCAAAATTTCACAAAATCCAAATTGATTGTTGTTAAGAGGTCAATCAAAGCAGCAATTAGCTTTACCAAATCAAATTAATAAGATTCTTTGCTTGGATGAGGTGGAAGGACTTACAGAAGCGACGAACAAGGTGGAGGTGGACTTGTCAAATACTATGAAGGCAAAATTTCCACTGAGGTGGCCAACCACATGGTTAGGTGGGTAAGGGGCCCGGTCTCGCAGTGCCTTGTAGGCCTCAATCACCAAAAGCACTTCATTTGCAGACTTGGCTAGTCCATATTGCTGCCTCAAGCTTCCCAAGTTGTCAAGGGCTCCCTCAAACAAGCAGAATATCTCATCCTTCACTGCAAATGACCTGCAATTTTTCCCATTCTCAACACTCGGATATTGCGAACCAGAACAGTGGTCTTGGATATTTACTACTAGAAGCTAAAATCTTAACATGGGTGCATTGTTCATAAAGAATATTCCAATTTTTACACGATCAATATCAGGAGGGGGATTTCAACACATGAAATCGAATGAGGACTAATTACCCTTGACCAGTTAAGCCCCTTGAAAAACAGACTATTCTATTCCAATTCTACATCATCAAACAACTAGGCTATGGTCCCAACTCTCCTCACCTATGGATATGGACTGTCACTATGGTGCAATTACTTTGGTGATGGAAGACTTCATAAACATATTACTATGGGAAGTTTCCTTTCAATGACGCATGCCACACATTAAAAATTTTCAATTAATGCATGTTTTAATATTTAATATATATCTACCGACAAGTCTAGTTAAGTGAAAAATGACCTTAACTTGTAAATCAAAGATCTTAGGTTCTGATCCCCTCGACACACAAGTGTTTCTTCATGACATCATAGTTGTGATGTGTGTGAGAAAAATCTCTTTATCCTGTAATTTAGACTATCGTTTGTACTAATATAAAATATCTATAATTAAAAAAATAGAGCGTGCCCCTTGGACACCTCGTTGACACATCCCTGCAAGCATCTCTCCATTGTTCATTGTATCAAATCCTAAACCAAGAAACCATCGGGGTCCCAACCCACACCCCACCTACGTCATGCCCATCGTCAACTGACCCCACCTCCTTCAACTACAATTCTTGGATGGAGACTTTTAAACTGATTGGGGATAAAGTAAATATTTTGAAACACCATTCCAAATATAAAATACAATTAAGAAAAAAGAAATCATTTTTAAAAAGAGGCCACAAATCCATAATTTTGGTGAAGTTTGTGTGATCAAATATTCGAGATACTGCCACGTGGCGGCCCATTCGAAACAATATAGTCAAGAGAATCTTGATTCTAGATAGCGTCGCGTGGCGGTCATGTGAGACCACCTCCTCCCCCTATCAGTAACCGCCAAGGCGCCAACGTTGGTTTTCTTCCTAATCCCGATGGTCCGATTTCAGATGATCATCAGATCCAGGATCGATCATGATTTGACGATCATCATGATTATCAAATCTAATCATGATCGATCATACTTTCATCAAGCACCAAAAAAATAATAAATTTTAAATTTTAAAAATATCGCGAAAAGTAAAGAAGAAATAAATTTTAATCTCCAACGCCAATCACGCACTTCCTTTTATGAACACTTTATTTTTCACCCTTACGCGCTAGTTGCTCGGTTTGATTAATAACGAATCGGAGGGTATCGAGTGGTGGTGTATGATGAGTCATCACAACAGTTAAAACGACATCGCAGCGCGTTTTGTCTTACCTCGGCTGTAACGGTGACTCGTTGCTGTGGCTGTAGGCCAGCTGAGCATGGTCGCCGACCTGTACGGACACGGCGCTCCCATTGTTCTGGACGAAGCGGTTGACCAGCGCCGCCGCCGTTATCTTCGGCGACGGAGTGCGGCTGCCTGCGGCCACCAGCTCGTCCGGCGGCGATACGATCGCGCTGCTGAAAACTCCCAACATGATTGATCGCTAGCTCGAAAATGAAGAAGAAAAAACAAAATCTGACGAAAATATCACCGAAAAAGGAAATCTGACGAAAGTCTACTCACTCTCTCTCTTTGAATTTTCTGCTATGGAGTTGAGAGCTCGGACATGGGATCGTTTGCAACGGAGGGTGGGGTTTTTTTTATAGGGAGGGAGCGTGGGTATTATCGTCATTTTCCGACGGAAGCTTGTGACTTGCGAGTTTTTCTGTTGTATTTTTTATGGAATTTTCATTTTCTGTTGTCTTTTTTTTCTTCTTTTAAAACTGAATAATCCAATCAAGCACGACGAGGCATGTGGTCTGTGGGACCCGCTGGTGGCGATGATTCCCGAGCCTGTGGGGCTCCTAGGCTGATTGAATCAGTGAGGAAGGATCTGATCAGGCACGGAAGTGTCTAGATGTTCCTTAGTTTGGATTGCTAATGTTGCCGTGGCACGTCGGCAAGTGATTAGATTCCGCGTCGGTGATATGTCGGATTGCTGGTCGCTGAATTTTCCTGTTTCAGTTTTCATGATTTGTGGCGAAATTACTGGAATTGTACGCTTTGGAAATAAATAGGGGATGATTTGTTTTCGGTTTTTTTTTTTAAATCTCTTCGTGCATTTAAGGCCCATTTGATAACTATTTTTATTTTATTTTTAATTTTTAATTTTTAATTTTTTATATTAAAATATAGAGATAAAAATGAGAGAATAAATATGAGAATGAGAATAGAAGTGATGATGAGATTAAGCTAGGAAGGATGAGAGAGAAGAGTAACAAAAGTGAAAATAAAAATTTGAAATAAAAAAAGTGAAAACAATTTCAAATATTTTTAATTTTTTAATTTTTGGGTAATAATTGTTAGAACTTAGAAATATTGGATAGAAAATCCATTTAACGATATTTTCGTTTGTGTGGCATTTGTTTGTTTGTTTGTTTTTTTAATTTTTGGAGAAACCTCGAAGGATAAATTTAGGGGTAGTTTATTGAATTGTTAAAACATAATAGGGTATGAACCTTCAACCTTGACCCTTATTTATAGAATCTTTTAAAATGGCTAAGGGCCGAACCAAAAACTGTCATATGGGCAGGTTATAAATTATTCTCTCTTTTTTTTTTTTACATTTAAGGAGCTCCTAGAGTAGAGTAGACTAATTTTGTGTGTAAGAGCATCTCCACCCACAAGGGCTAAGTTTAGGGCAATGGCTGCCACTATTTACTTGAATAGTGTCAGCCTTGCCATTTGTAGTTCCACCCATGAGGGCTAAGTCTAGGGCAAGTCTAAGGCAAATACTATTTATTGTACTTTATTTCCTATTTTTTTATACTTTAAACCATTAATTTTGATAAGCTTTTTAGATTATATTTTCGATTGTCACGTGTCACTATTTATTATAAAATTTAAGATAACATTTTTCGGATAAAATTTTCAAATAAAATTTTCGGATAAAATTTTCGGTTACCATGTGTCCATATTTATTATAAAATTCACATCTCACTCATCATACAATTGAAATATTCTTGGTCCTCATAGTCCGACACAATGGAATACAAGGACAACTCCATCATTGGAGGAGGCAGTTCCACTAGATCATAACGTGGGGGAGTATTTTCCTTCGGAGGAAGTAATAGTGCCAATATTTCTGACACGGAACGCACCACTGGAACTGACTGCGGACATTGTTCACTTGAGAAGCCATGTGTAATGGTTTTCCTCTTTTTTGTTTTGCCTTGACTAATCTATTAAAAAAAAGAAATTGGAAATGCAAGAAATATATATATATATATATACATATATATATAAAGACATTAAATTGAATAAAACTGAAATTAATATTTTTTTACCTCGTTGCCAAGATTTTGACCTCTTCAAACATTTGTCCACGACCCTTCGGCTTTGATGGAAGATGACATTTGTATTTTTGCACAAATGAAATTTTGTAGTAGAAAATTTGGTGTGGAAAGTGAAAAATATTGGAAGGAAATGAGTTTGTATGAAGATTTGGTGTGAAAAGTGAATAAAATTGTTAGGTATTTATAGGGAAAAAATCCAGAATTTTTTGGTATTTTTTTTATAAAAAAAATTGAATTTTTTTCGCTTTTTTTTGCAATTTTTTAAGCCAAAAAAATCAAGGCCGTCAGAATTCTAGAAAAAATTGCATCGGAGCGTCCAGGAAGCGCCACATGGCATATTCCCGTTGGGGCCTGTCAGCAGTGACGTCATGTTTACGTTAGTGAGAGAAAATCAAATTTTTGTTTACTGTTGGTGCGTGAAATTCACGCGCCAACGGTAAAAAAAATTTGAATTACCTTGCTGTGACGTCAGCGCTGAACCCAGGCGGAACTTGCCCTTGGGCCTGCCCGGGCTGGTGGGACCCAACTCTTGCCCAGGCTTCTTCTCTCGCCCTGGAGGACGCTTGGGCTCGCCAAGGGGGCCTTTCCCCCAGTTTGGGTCTGGCGCTGGAGATGCTCTAATGGGATGGGTTAATTTTCACTAAATATGCTAAATTTTTTAAAAATAATACTGAAATCTTATTTATCTAATTATTTTGAGTGAATTAGAGCAGTGACGAATCCATGAATCTTATCTCATAGGGTCATAGTGTAAAAGTTCAATTTTTTTTTTAAAGGTTTGGGGGGGTGGAGATTGGGGATTTAGAATTGAGGAGAAAAGAATGGGGGTTTTGGAGATGCTGGGGTCGGGTGGAGGGGTGTTGAAACTGTTAAATTTTTTTTTTTTTAAGATCTGGACCAAAACGACGTCGTTGTGGCAAGTTCATTTTATAAAAAAATAACCGTTGGGCCAAAATGACGCCGTTTTGGCCAGTGTGTTTCTTAAAAAAAAAAATGGTGGACCAAAACGACGCCGTTTTGGCTAGCATGTTTTTAAAAAATAAAGAACCACGCTAGGCAGCTTCTTCTTCCTCACACCAGGAACCCTTTCCTTCAATTCATTCATGGGGTCACACAGTTAGGTAAAGAGGACCTTCTAGCTTGTTTTCATAGAGTCCATAAGGTCGTTTGACCTCATTTACCCCACTATGGGTTCGTCCTTGAACTAGAGCCCACCCTAATCTAAAGGTGATTGCGGCCTTGAAATGAGCGTCTTGAATAAAATCCACCCTAATCTAAGGGTTATTATGATCTTAAAATAAGCGTCTTAAATAAAACTAGGGTGTCTCAAATAACACTAGAAAAACTTTTGAAATAAACCAAACTGATTGTTAATCCTAAAAGGTGAGGTGCAAACAAAATTTGATTTGGCCTTCAATGTGTGCGACTCAAGCTACATGTCTACATCCCAGTGTTAGGGCTTAAGATATTGGTGGCCACAAAGTCTTTTATGATGGTTGAAAGCAATATTATCATACAATTCAAATCTCACATAATTTTGAATAATTTATTAGAGAAATATAAATATAAAAAAACCTTAGCCAAAAAATGTAAGCGTAAGTTTATATTACATGTTCAAAGGTCATCCTTCAATTTGTAAAATTAACTTCAAATTAAACTCTAGCAAAGTTTTGACACTATAATTTGAATCTGTTATTTTATTTATGTTAATTCAAACCCATATTTTATAATTTATCTTCATCAATTACCAAATTATATGTTTTTTATATTATAATTCCCCAGGTATGATGAATTCAATTTATTTTGGCTCATATTTCTCCATATAATAATTAAAAAAAGATGGGTCTAAGTTTCTAAGTTCCAAAAACCATGGATGGCCTGTGGTACAGTTTCAAATTTCTGTTGGCAAGTTCAAATTGGAAGCATAAAATATCAATTGAATCAATGGAGATTAGCTGCATGTGGGGGACGACGGCTAAGCATAAAAACGCATTGAATTCAAAAGGATGCAAATTGATTCATCCATCCCCACATATATATTTTATGGATTATTCGGGTTAGGTGCTCCTCCTACGCCCTTTTCACAACAAACAAACCAAATTAATTAATGCTAGGTTGTTTCTTTAAACATTGGACGTAAGTTTTGCGTTATCTCAGCGAAGAAAGGATTCAAATATACTAAAAAAATATTATATATATGAAATAGAGATTTTCTATTTAAACCCCGCACTTCTCTTTGTTCACCCCAATACTTAAATAATTAAGCTGTAAGTTTTATTATTGTATAAAAAGACAAAAAAGGTCATCCAACTTAATAATTAACCCTAGTACATCTATACACACACCCCACCACTCTTTATATTAAGTTTTAAAAACCTCCTTCCAACTTCATGTTTACAAACTCTCTCTCTCTCTCTCTCTCTCTCAACTCAAAAATACCAAAGTGTTAGAATTTCAGTTACAGTTCTTGGAGAGAGGTAAAGTTGTTCTCTTTCTCTAGAAAATATTAAATTTCTGATTTGTGGTTTCATTTGTTTGTGTTTTTTTTTTGCTGAGAACAAAGAAAATTGTGGGATTTAAATAAAAAATCTCTTTTAGTTTTTATTTTTTTAGTTTGGGGTGTATTTAAGGGTAGTTTGGGAAGATAGTGAGGTTTTCTTAGAAATTGTGAAAATTTAAATTAAAAGTTGGGGTGAACTTAGAACATGGGGTGAACTAAGAGAAGTGTGGGGTTTAAATAGAAAATCTCTATGAAATATAATTCTAAGAAAAAAATTACGGTATTTGTTACTACACCATTTGGTAATTATTTCCACTTAATTGAAGTAGGTTGTAACTTATAAGTTTGAGTCACAAAATGCGACGACGAAGTATATTTGTAATCTTATATTTAATTGTGTCTAGTCTCGTATAATGATGTAGCTTTAACATGATTGAATGCGGGATTTGTTGGGTTTCGCTTTCCATTTATGTCTAACTTTAAAGCAAAACATGATTTATTGTGAACCTTCTTGTTGTACTCGGTTATGAAGTTGTTGGGTTGGTGAATACGGGATATGAGAAGAATGTGTGTTTTGGGGTCTATCACTTGTGCATTTACAGAATTGTATGTGAAGCTTACTTTTGTATTTGTTATGGGTCCCATCCCGTGTGTTTGTATTTAAATTGCGTTTTGGACACACAAGAAATTTTCTCCTGCATTGTTGGCTTAGGTCGAAATTTTCCATGTCCCATGTTTTAGTTTAAGTGATTTGGGGAGAGAAGTTTACACAAATATTCATTGGGTACTTATGGGTTTGAAACTTCTGTCCATGAGGATAGAGTTGAAAGCGCTCAACCAACTGAGTTATGCATCATTAACTACATGCCCCATGTTTAAGAAATTTAAATTGACAAAAAGAAAAAAAAAAAAAG